GATTGTTTCTTTTCCATTCATNCTTTTAGTGGTTTTTGGCCAGTTTGTATTTTTCCAGACATCTCTCCATGATGTGGTTGAAGTATATGATGGGCCAACTCAGCAATCATCCTTATTATCTTCACTATCAGGATCACATTCAGGTATCTCATAATAGAACTGTCCTAAATATGTTATATATTGAAATGACTTTTACTCTAGATAGTTCTGCTGAGCATAATTGGTTTTGAACATAGAAGAACAATCAAGAATGCATAAATTAAAAGATTAAATTGATGCTATTATGGGCTTATGGGAAATCAGTTGAAAGAAGAAGAAACAATGTGATGTGTTCCTTAGATTATCAGTAATTATTCTGTAGAAGTTTGGGGGGGGGATCTATATTTTTATACAGTGAGGAAATGATTATTTGGGAATAATTAGGGAAATAAGGTGGCATCCAGTGTGAGTTTCTAATGTTTTTCTTTATTTTCCAGGCTTCAAACAAGTTTTTGTTACTAGTCTAACAAATAAAAGAGCAGTGGTCATTAATATTCATCTATTTCTTAAGATTTAAAAAGAGGTACAGCACAATAAATAGTTGCATTACAGTGATTCCACTTGTCTGTAATCTAAAATCCAATTTCCCATCAAAGGTAATAATTTTAACATAATTAATCAGAGGCAAATTCCATCTTATTTTTAATTAATTGCAGATAACAGGCAGTTCTTGTTGGAACTGCATCATGCAAGAAAATAAATGTATTCCTTCCATCATCTAACATGAGATAAATTCAACAAGCATCCATCTCTTCTTCCACTAGAAGTATCCTCAAAGCTGTAGTTAATTAAAAGAATGCTGGAGATGTGCCTATAGGCTATGCATTCAGAAAATAGCATATGTAGTTTACACCTCAGTGATGCATATTAATGACAGGATTATGACATACAAAGATTTAAATTGAAAGATAGTTGACATGAACTGACACCACTATTTACAGAAAGAAAATATATTATGGAATTTCATCTGAATTTTTAAAAAAGACTTCCCTGCCACTACACATTAATTCTATTGTAAATGCCATAATCCAGACCAATTTTACATTGTGCTAGTGCCGAGATGTTGGGAAACTATTAGCCAGGCAAGTAGTAGGGATCAAGTGGGAAATTAGCCTTGAATCATTGTGCAGCCACAAGAGTACTAGGACTGATGCCTCCCCAATCACTTAATATAGTCTAAATAACATTCTCATTATCTCTTTCTTTATAAGTGAAGGGAAGCAGTGTGGGGAAACTCATATATTATAGGCAGAATATAATCAAGTAGTAAGCTTGAACCCTTCGTAGGTGGATCTGGTTGCTTTGGCCTGACATACGCTGCCTTCAGTATTGATGAAAACTCTAAGCAAACTGACATTCAATAAAGTGAATAGCTGTTCTTAGAGTGCCATTCGTATTTCATGAAAGAAAGTTAGCTGCTATGTATTCTCTTATAGTATATTATATTGAGCCATGGTGGTGTAGTGGTTAGAGTGCGGTACTGCAGGCTACTTCTGCTGACTGCTAGCAGACTCCAATTTTGCAGTTAAAATCTCACCAGGCTCAAGGTTGACTCAGCCTTCCATCNACAAAGATGATTAGGGAACTGGAAGCTAAAACATATGAAGAGCGGTTGCAGGAACTGGGTATGTCTAGTTTAATGAAAAGAAGGACTAGGGGTGACATGATAGCAGTGTTCCAATATCTCAGGGGTTTCCACAAAGAAGAAGGAGTCAAGCTATTTTCTAAAGCACCTGAGTGTGGGACAAGAAGCAATGGGTGGAAACTAATCAAGGAGAGAAGGAACTTAGAACTGAGGAGAAATTTCCTAACAGTTGGAACAATTAATCAGTGGAACAACTTACCTCCAGAGGTTGTGAATGTTCCAACACTGGACATTTTTAAGAACTTGTTGGATAACTATTTGTCTGAAGTAGTGTAAGGTTTCCTATCTAAGCAGGAGGTTTGACTAGAAGACCTCTAAGGTCCCTTCCAACTCTGTTATTCTATTCTAAGAATCAAAATCAGTCATTTTTGTTACATCTCATAAATGGAAGAAATGTCCATGCTAGAAAATTGATAGAGTATAAATTGTTTCTTGCCTGTTTTTACAATATTGTTTTATAGTTTCTGTGTGGGTTACTGTATTATACACTATGATATATGATACAGTAATGAGGATCATTTAGACTAGATGGAGGGGATAACAACATTTGCCAGGTGAAGATTGAGGGCTATTTCAGTATAAACACAAAATAAATTACATCTATCAAAACTAATACCAAGGAATGAAATTCTCTCTCAGATGTTAAAAGTTTCCAAAGTTTCATTTTGATTCTAAAATACTTTGTAAGTACTTTCCAACTTCATTGAAACCATCTATCTTTTGGGGAGAAAACAGCAAGATGATATTTTTTCTTCCTCTTACATCCATAACTCTTTCATGGATTATTTGTTTTTACCTTTATTCATTTTTTGTAGCTGAGTTCTGGGTTTATTCCTCTTTGCCAGTTTTAAAGCTCAGATAGATTTCTGTAATGATTTTCACCTTCCATCATGGTTATGTTAATTTAAATTAGATTGCCTTGCATTATAACTTTGTTGTAGCTTATAACTTTGTTTAATTTATCTAAATTCTTCTTCTTCTTCTTCTTCTTCTTCTTCTTCTTCTTCTTCTTCTTCTTCTTCTTCTTCTTCTTCTTCTTCTTCTTCTTCTTCTTCTTCTTCTTCTTCAATAAAACAGTTGGTGTAGTGGTGGTAGGAGGAATTTGTTTGGGATAGCCATGTCTGTTAGATATCAATGGGGATTCTCGGTCATCTAGAATCTATATCCAGTCTACAACACAGTCCTTTCAACAGTTCCAAGAAGGCTCCACACCCATTTGTGCTGTTCAAGCAACCCTGAGGACACAGATAAACCTCCAAGTGCTTCAATGACCCGCTAAAAGAATGCAAATAACCAGCCATCTTCAAGGAATATAAATCCTTCCATTCCCCACCATCCAGTCAGAGAAACAAAATGTGTTCAATGAAGAACAACAAAGTCCAGTTGCCTCTTTAAAATAAAAACAACTTTGGGACACCCATGTTTATTAGAGAATTATAATTAAAACTGAATTCAAATGACTTATTCTAGAAATGTAAATTCTGATAACAGCCAAGGAAGAAAGCTAGCTTCGTACCCTTTAATAATAACCTTGTTAAAGGTTATCAAGAGGTAGGAAATCAGGGCTGAACTGATCTCACATTATGACTTCTTCAGTACCCAATGCATGTTTTGTGGCAGTGATGGGACTGATATGTTTGGTGAAGCAATCTGAAACCTCTGCATATACCTGTTTCATTTTCTAGTCATGATCCATTCATGATCTCTTTGGTCAATTCAGAACAACTCTAAATTTCATGTATTTCTTTAAATGAGCAGTATGGTGGCCTAGTGGTGAAGACGGTCACCTTTCACTCAGAAGGTTAAGAGTTCAATCCTAGGTAGCAGCAGATGTTTCTTTCTCCTAGGATGCAAAGAAAAATTATCTGCTGTGAACTCCACGTGGTGTCAGGAAGGGCATCTGGCTATTTCCCTTCAGTCTCCCTGACTCTACCCCAAATCAAGTCATAAAAAGGAGGTGTTTTTTATTTGTTTCTTTAAATATTTGTTCCCAACTTTTGTATGCCATTCTTCAAACTCAGGATTTTCCCGTGATAGTGAGTTTCAGATCGGTATCCAGAATGTTCAGTTAAATTCTACATTTATATTAATTCCCTTTAACAGCTTTGTGGAATTTGAGCATTTGAAATCGAAATAACTTAATATATTTCAAGGTTATAGCTTTATTATTAGGACGGTTGCATTTTATAAAAGTTTCGTAAAAGTTTACAGCAATCAACACTTTATATTGTGGAAATCTGTTCTTTGTTTTTCACAATATAATGTACTTACTTATACTATATTTAAATATCTTGATATGTAGCTATGAATTAAGAGAATTCACAGATGGCTATTCTGTGAGTTATATATCATTTTGGAGGTAGAAAATTCACCAGAAACAGTTTTTCAAGATAACCTACTCATTCAAAAGTTTTGTCATGAATTCCTAAATTCTGAAAGTTTAAAGTTTTTTAAGGTAAGAGTAAAACAATAAATAAAGTTAGAAGCCTGATCCTATGAATCATCTAGAAGGGCATTTCGTATTTGGAACAATTGGAATACTTTTGTTTGAAGATTATCACATGAAATTCATTCATTTGTTCATTTGTTCATTCATTCATTTGTTCATTTGTTCCAGTTACAACTGAGAGGCTGAGTTGTTTAAAAGTGATACAATTGAAAATTATTTGTTTATTTATAAAATTTATTTGCTGCCCATCTTGTATCTAACAACTCTGGACACCTTACAGCATAAAGAAAAACATTAAAATTGTCAATTGTAAACACATAGCAGGTGAAAATCCTATAGATTATTTGAAGGAGTTTGGTTTTGGTGTATATCCATGTGCATTCCTGCAGATCCAGGCACACATAACCAACTAGCCTCTTTGTTAATCTGCTTAAAGATGCACTTCTGTTGCTTTTGAGATGACATTCCATGCCCATCAGTTAAACTCAGTGTCCCCTTTTGATAGTATTCTCACCTTGCCTGGACAAATCTAATATTGTTTCTGATCTCCCCCACCTACACCAGTGTTCAAGGCAGGAGCCAAAGCTGAGGAGAGGAGAGTGAAGGGGGAAATATGGAAGGGTGATTGAATGTTACTCTACTCTCAATAGGCAAAGAACTTCGGGTGACTGATGAGAAAGTCAGAATGAATTATGTTCCTCCCATACCTTCTTTTTTTAAAGAGCTTTGCCCTAGCAAAGTGTTAGACTTCTTGACCTATTTGAAGCCTGCACTTCTCCAACAGAGTTCGAAGTAAGACTATAGGGATTTTCATAGGTCCTATGAAAACAGAGACTTTCATTAGTGAATACATTATACATAGTTACCATGCTGAAGGTATTATATCCAGGACTGCATTGCTCCAAAATTGCTATCTCAGTTGTATTATAATTGTCCTGGTTTTGAAAGCAGCAGAGAGAAAAAAAAAATACTAAGATAACATAACTCTTCGCACCAAACTTGATATAAATGGCCTATCCTTCAAGTCAACAACTTTCAAGGTACCATTTTTGCAACTGGTCCAACCATTGCACAAGGCAGGAATCTAAAGTACTCTTGCCACATGCATATTTAGCTTCTACTCACCAATACTATAGGTAATAAATTCCTTTGTCAAACTTCTGTAACTTCTGTAACTACTCCCCCCCCCCTATAAAATTCAATTGATATCTGTTTTCCTGTGACATATATACATTATTTTGTATCTTATCCTCTCAAATGCAAAACAAATTTAAGTTGCATCCCTTTTTGTTCTTAAAAAGTGTTGTGATANCAATGCATTGGCACAGTGGAACGATACCCTTCCTACATGTGTTGGTGAGTAGCCAAAATGTGATTATTTGCAGGGGTGGGGTGGTTCTATTTTTTTTTACAGTATGGGATGTAGGATTTATTCTACTATCTTTATGCTTCAAGATCAAATGACCAGTTCATTTGAACCTGTTATAAACCCTATAGCATGCATGCCCAAAGTGGCACATGAAGCCATGTCGCCTGGCACATGTTCTGTCACCTGTTCCTCTTCCAGGTTTCTGGCGTGCATGCATGTTCAACAATCAGCTGGCCTTCGTGTGTGTGGCAGTGCCGGAAACTGGAAGAGCTGGTCTTCCATTTTCCAGCATGAGTATGTGTGCTGGCCAACTGATCATCAAGTGTATGAGTGCCAGTAACCGGAAGACTAGCTGGCCACTGTGCATGCGTGCACCGGAAATGGAAGTATATTTTCCAGCACATGCATGCTACTTGGGCAGCTCCTCTTCCAGGTTGCATTCCAGATGAGCATGCACACTCCCTTTTCATCACTCAGTGCTGAAAAGGTTCGACATCACAGCCCTATAGCATTGTAACACAATGCTCTCTTGCTTTTATGATTTTTTAAAATTGCCATAACTAAGAGAGAAAACACACACCTCAAAATTGAAAGGAACCAGCGTTTTCTTCCGGTTGGTGAAGAATCTGATTCATCCATGAACATATGTGCATTTTGTTTGTTTGTTTATTCTTATGCTTCTTCAATTGCACTTGACCCTAAGCAGAATACACAGCAGCTTGACTGATTAAACTGATTAAAATAAACCAATATAACTGGTCAACTGATTAAAATAGATTAGTTAAAAAAATACAGCAATAGCATACTGGAGAGGGGAGGGCAGTTTGGAACAACACATGTGTTTGTCACGGCCTTATTTATTTTATTTATATGGTCACCGATTTCAGAATAAGTAACGTCATAGCATACAGTAAAAATATAATAACAGTAAGCATTTCAAATCTGTTTCAGTAAAAAGGGTGATTAGAATGTTGTGGAAAATCTATTTTCTTACTAGATTTTGAAAATACATGATTCCGTTACTATAGACAAATCCTACTGACTGCTTTAAAAAAGTAATTTGAAAGGTTTCCAGACTCAGTTTATAATGATGTATTTAATCATTATATTCCTTCAAAGATGATACCTCCAGAATTTGCTCAAATTATTGTCTAGTGCTATGTTTCTCATAAGTATAATCTTTATTGTCATTGTACTTAAACACAACGAAATTGAAAACTTGATGATTTGAAGATATGTGAATTTCAATCCTCAAAATTCACCAATCAGCATGCTTGCTGTAGAGTTTGGGTTGTTCAGGAAGTCTGTATATTTTAAAATTGCTAAGGGTCAGAAATATTAGTCTAGTCCAGAGGTGCAATTCTGGAGAACCGGTAGTGGAAATTTTGAGTAGTTTGGAGAACCGGTAAATATCACCTCTGACTAGCTCTACCCCCATCTATTCTCTGCCTCTCAAGTCCCAGCTGATTGGGAGGGAATGAGGATTTTGTAGTAACCTTCAACTGGAGTAGGGAGGGAATGGAAATTTTACAGTATCTTTCCCCTGCTATGCCCACCGAGCCACACCCACCAAGCCATGTCTGCCAAGCCCACAGAATCAGTAGAAAAAAAAATTGAATTCCACCAATGGTCTAGTCCCAATGCTTAGTATATTGGATTAAAAGTCAGTGGGTCTTTTTTTTTTCCTAACCAAGACAGACTCCAAAAATGAGGATATTGTAGCATGAATGCTATGAGAGGTGGCATTATTGAATTACTACTAACTAGGAATTTGGGCTATATTTTAGGACCTACACTCATCCTTCTGTGTTGACAATTATTCATAACCCAAAATCAACAGTGGCATTGGAATCACAAAGAATATTACTCATGCTTACCATAAGCACAGCAAGTTAAGTGATGCAGTGGAAGATGATTAGATCAAACATTGTGTTAATGAGTGATTGGTAGAACTAGGATTCAGGAATACATGTTCTTGTCTATCCTTCAGGGAGATGGTTATATATCATTGGGGATTTTTTAGCTCATAGGTTGCACTGGGGCACTAATTTGTCTAAAGCTAATGTGTACGCGGGTTTGCAGATCATTAAAGGGAATGCATAAAAATGTTACACATGATGTAGCCATCATGAGGGGTCTCTGTTGCCAGAAGATTCCCAGATCTGTTGGGGAAAAAATGTTTTAATTGATTTTTGGAAGATCACAAGGGTTGGGGCTAACTTGATCTTGACAGGATGATGTTCCAAAGAGTGGATGCCATGGAAGTTTAGGCTCCTCTCCTAAGCCCTATCAATTCCTTAGCAGACAAGATCCACAACCTACTGTATTTTTCAGAGTATAAGACACTCCAAAGTATAAGACACACCTAGCTTTTGGGGAGGAAAACAAGGGGAAAAAAATCTGTCTTGGCCTCCCAGCAATTTGCCTCCTTGCAACAAACAGCAAACAGTTCAGACAATATACACTGTTTGTAGTGTATATATTACATTTCAGACTATACTTGTACAGATGCTGTTAAAATTGATGTGGTTTTCTGGAAATATANTGCTTTCATAATTTTAAAAAGGGTTGAAATCTAAAGGGGAAATGTAATGACCAGACCTTTTTGCTATTTCATTTCTAATCTTATCTATTAATATTCAGTCTAACCTTTTGCTCAGATACGTATTTCTATATCTGAATACGGAGAGTCATATTACAGAACTAACTTTGTTATTAAAACATGTTCTTTGAATTTACAAGGCAATCCTATCCATGAAGAAAAAAATGGGGGTAATCCAGTGTATATAAAGAATGGAGCTTTCCATTGTTTCTCTTTTTGTAAATGGATCAGACACTTTAAAATTAATTGCATGTCAACATTTGCTACTATAATTTAGCCTTTATAAATCTGGGTATCAATATGACAACAAGAGCAGACATTCATAAAAATGTAGTTAATCAATTTAAATATCTACCCGTCACAGAAATAAGAATTTTGCTTTGTATATTAATTCAATGAAGCAGTACTTTTCATATTATTTTGCGAAAAGCTTGATACAGTTGTTCTGTTATATAATGGGAATGGAGGTTTTTGTTGCATTTCTAGACATTTGAGCCTCTTATTTGAAACTGTGATAAATATATTTAGGATTATCTCATTTTCTGCCATGAAGCACTATGCATTATCTCTACTGTGTTTCCAGCGGTTCCAAGAACAAGTTCAACCCAGTGCAGTTCGGTGCCTGAACCACGATTTGGAAAAAGAATTGGAAATGAATTTGCTGTTGGTTCGTTGGTTCTTTTTGAGTGTAATCCAGGCTATATACTGTATGGGTCAATAGCAATTAGATGCGACACAGTGCCCAATGCATTGGCACAGTGGAACGATACCCTTCCTACATGTGTTGGTGAGTAGCCAAAATGTGATTATTTGCAGGGGTGGGGTGGTTCTATTTTTTTTTACAGTATGGGATGTAGGATTTATTCTACTATCTTTATGCTTCAAGATCAAATGACCAGTTCATTTGAACCTTTATAAACCCTATAGCATGCATGCCCAAAGTGGCACATGAAGCCATGTCACCTGGCACATGTTCCATCGCCTGTTCCTCTTCCAGGTTTCTGGCATTTGTGGTATTACATTTCAGACTATACTTGTACAGATGCTGTTAAAATTGATGTGGTTTTCTGGAAATATAGTTCTTCTCTGCTATTTAAAAGAAGATATAATAGCACTGGGCCTCTTCAGATCAAACTCTTATTTTAAAAAGCTTCTTCATTTCAAGTTGTCTAGAACAATAATAAAGCAGTCTTTAAAATCTAATAATTTGAATATTCTATAGG